CTTCTCCTTCTTCTCCTTCTTCTCCTTCTTCTCCTCCTTGTCCATCTCCTCCTTCTCCTTCATTGCCACTGCCGCCCGCAGATTCGCGGCGCGGGCCCGCTTTCTTCGCGCTTCCTCCTCGTCAACAGCAGCAGCCTTCTCGAGGCGCTCGGCCTCGGCAATCTTCATCCGTAGTCAGCCCTGTTCTCCTTGCCCTAAGTAGGAAAAGGAAGCAGCAGGTATTGCTTACCATCTCTTCTACATACGCGTGCCCAGACTCGAACATCTTCTTCTTCTTCTCGGCCTTCTTTGCCTTGACCTTCTTCATTTCCTTGCGCCGAAGAGCGCGAGCTGAGTTCGGGGCCCGGGGGGCCAGAAATATTCCTCTTTGGATGATGATGGACGAGAATGTAGTGTGGGAATGGGAGTATCGTTGTAGTTATGCTTCAAGACATACTTGGTACGGGGGAGGCATGGCGGTTGGTGGTGGTAGTGGTAGCGGTATGAGAAGATGTAGTGGTAGTACTGATGCTGCTCGCCCATACTCTGTCAGCAACGCACACTCCATACAATAAGATGCAATAACTTCTTCATAGATACATACACTCTTTGCAACACGGAAGTTAACCAGGGAGGGAAAGAGAGAAAGGACCGAAAGGGGCAGACGAGGAAGTTCTTATTTATGCTATATACTGGTCCCACTTTCATCTTGCGTGTTAGAACTAATTGTTAGCGAGCTAGTGTTCTCTAATACCAATGAATTGTTTACAACGGTGTAAATGTAATGAATGTAATATTGTAGTTGGATACGTGGTGCTCTGGTTATATCGAGTGTTACGAACTTTCTTAGTGGGTAGGTATTGTCTTTCGTATGGGGTGTTGTCCCCCAGAACAACTAGCCTGTTTGTTGTCTGAAGTGTATGTATATAGGAACCCGCACATATGCTAACAGACTGCCTGAGGTGTCTATCTCTCTTCGTAACCATCCATCTTTGTATGATTTCCTTATAGTTATAGTAACCCTGCCATGACCCTCGTCAAGGCCTCATCTTCTGCATTCAGTGTCTCAATGCCTGCCCCATCAGTTACATTCCCATTTCCTGCTTCAGGCACCTCAGCCTGCGCCCTAGGATCAAAGTAGAACCCGCCGGCCATTTCAAAGAAACTCGTCAGATCCTCACAGCTCTCCTGCTGATCATCGACCGCTGCATTCCCCCCTGCTGCTGTTGAGGGCCAGTATGTGGACACCGACACTGACTGCTGATGAACGGGATGGAATCCCGAGAGTTGGTGCTGCGGGTGTGGTGGGTAGGGTGTATCCACCGGGGTGTAAGGTACGGCTGCAGACATCGTCGTAGATATTGAAGGCTGTCGCTTAGGAGTTTGGTGTTGTTGTTGCTCGTGCTGTAGCTGAGCTTTAGCTTGTCGGGGCGACTTAGCTCCCAAGTTTGAGCGGATCAATTTTAGATTCCGGATAATCTTCTGCAGACGGCGGGATGTGCGGGCGCGAGTTGATGATCTGCGAACCATGTCGACGGCTTTGTAGAATTCCGGACGACAGACTTGGCTGAATCGGGAAGGGGCATGGAGCACTGCAAGGAATAGTGCAGCGAGAGCTGAGATGAGGAAGTAGTTGAATGGTTCGGGACGTTGGAAGTAGATTTCTGAAACGCGGCTGAAGAAGTCGAGCATATGCACGGTACTTTTCGCAGTTTCGACGGCGATGGATGCACTCGGCACGCTTTCTTCGATGCTCTCTGTGCTGAGGAGGTATTGTCTGTAGACGAGAATGCGCAGCTGATTCGCTTGCAGTGCTAGTAGCACTTGAAGCATCATCATGCTGTTCGTCTGCGCATTGGTCCCGTTGGATGACGATCGCTGCGACGGATCGAAGCGTAGCTCTGGCGGGATGGATTGGATCCATTGCTGTACTTGGAAGTCCAGGTATGAGCAGTAGTCTGCCGTCGCGGCGCGTGGGCGCGTGCGCCAGCCGACCACGAGGCCCCAGATCTTGGAGCTGAGTCGCGCGTACGATATCATGCAGGTCAGGTATGGCGTCGAGGTGCCCGGCTCCGGTAGGTTCGTGTCCATGTCGGAATCCTGGATGGCGAACGGCAGACCCGTTCCGAACGACCATTTCCGATCAAGTACGTAGATGCACCAGAATAACCTGCTGGCCCATGTTCTGTGCAGTTCGCCTGGGAAAACACCCCCCGTTCTTAGCCATGTCTCCTGACAGTGTAAGCCGAGTTGGACGGCGCCCCGGACGGCGGACCCGATTGTCCGCCACGCAATCACCTCGTCGTCGCGGTAGGAGTGGAAGATGGACTAATTTGTTAGCTGGAACAGGAACAGCTGAAGGACTGAACGCACCACTAAGGTCAGGATAAGCAATTCCTTCATGTCCACCTCAGGGATCTTGTACCGAGAAGCGAACTGATCCTCGACGCTGTCTGCCAACCAGGCCGCTCTTTCGCTGCGACCGTGTGACTCCGCTAACAAGGCCGTTGCTACGATGATCTTTAATACCTCAACGTCCCGGGCAAAGAACCAATCCTGGTCTTCGGTTTCAGGCGAGCGTGTCTCATTGGGTCCGTCCCCCTCATTCCGAAAGTACTCGACCACGTACGCGCGCACGCTGTCGAGGTCCACGCACGGATAGATCAGGCCGACAGTATGCTCGTAGACCGTCACCAGTCGCAAGGTCTCTGTGAGGCCCATACACCGAAGAGGGTCACCTGACAGGGCTTCTGAGTCTTGAACAGGCGCTGGGCTCGGTGCTGTTGCCGAGTCGGTTTCATCCGCATCGCCATCGCTGTCCTCCGATGCCTTCTGCCGCGCAGTGAGGCCAAACTCGGCACTGGTGGGACCGACGTAGCTGGGAGATTTGGGACGGTTCAGAATCCGCTGCAGTCCTGTATTGACAGATGCCGAAGAAACAGTCGACATGGAGGTGGGTATGCTAGTATTGTTTGCTGGTGTAGTCACCGATGTTGATTCCAGGTGACGAAGACGAGCGGCCATGGCTCGCATTTCTCGCTGAAGGGATGCAATTTGCTGGTCGACAGTCTGCAATCGACTAGACAATCTGTCATACCTGTGTAAGTAATAATCTCCGGCTGGCCAGGATAACATCACCTCTCATCTTTGACAGGATCTTCAACCGAAGGAGAAGCCGTGCTGGCGACAACGTGAGCGTTCGGGGCGTAAACGCAACGAACATTGTCTCTGGCACAGCGGGAGCACACAGGCTCGCCGCTACATTTCAGCTTCCGTCGCTTACACTCATTGCTAAGGGGGTCCGGTCAGTCAAGGCAAGAAACCATCTGTGGAGGATTAGCGCACCAAGCGACCTGGGTATATTTGGCGCGCTTTTTGCTCCGAGGCGGTTCCGGAGTGTTGCTGCCTCGCTTAACTGAGTCGCTGTCCATGGGGTTTTGCTTTAGCGAGCAGGACACAAATAGATCGCGTTAGATCGAATGTCTCATTTAGCACTCCACTGGGGTAGTACAAGATCGATCGATTCCGACATACGTGTCGGTGCATGAGAAATGAAGACGGGGTTCGGAAAGAGTGCTTGAGGGAGGCGCAAACTTTAAATTTCGTTCCGAGCAATCCGAGGTCGGCGGAGCGGAGTTTCTTTCTTAGCCCCAGGCCACCACATTTTGGACAAACCGGGTCGACAGTACCATTTTATTGATCATTACGCCAATGGATCGGGCATAAGGCTGATAAGACTATCGTAATCCTGTGGGTCGTGCGGTAGCTAAGTACCTATATTCGTAACACGATCATTGAAATCCATCCAATATATATCATTGAAGTACCAGATCCCCTCCAGTAGTATGTGCGAATCTCAGCTACTATATATGTACATTGTAGTCGTCATTCATGTCCAAAATAGTACTACCAAGTCTAGTTAGATGTGTGCATTACGACAGCAGTCGTTGCCGACCACCCGGGAAGAGACGTTCTTGTCGGATGGCACATCCAACGACGGGTTAGCGGTGAAGAAATCCGCAGGTCGGATCATCAGCTGGAAGATCTCAACAGGCCTAATCTAGTTAGCATGCTGCCATAGTAGATAGTATAGGGAACACTCACATCACAGGCCAATCTTCCACACGAGGATTGTGGGTAATGCCAAAGGTGCTCCAAACCACAACATCCGTGTCGACCACGGAATCGCCTCGCTTCACTGCGTCCGACACACCCTCGATTTCCTCCTGACTTTGGAGTGTGTACCGGCCACCGGCATAGAGTTCGCCATCGCGGTACTTGGTCACCCACACGTGGTGCTGAGCAAATTGTGCGCGTCTCGCTTGGATCGAGTTGGGATCGGCCAGCAGGCGTTGTGTCGCGAGCGGAATGAATTTGTATCCAACGGGCTTCTGGCTGATCGGGTTCTTTTTGTGAGGGTTGACCATCTTGACAGTACGATTGAGCTCTGGTGCGGCATCGAAAAAGCCGGCGCGCTCCATGGTCTCCGTGTTGACCTTGTAGAAGTTACCATTCGGGTTGGTGACGGCGTTCATGGGCACAGGATGCGACTCTTCCACCTGCACTGAGTTGTTGGGCCCGTCGATAGCCGGGTCGATGCGCACACAGAAAATGTGCTGGTGGTTCTGGGCCAACACGCCGCCACTGACGACGTTGCCGTACTCGCTGACCTTGCCAGCGTCGATGTTGACCACGTTCAAGATACCCGTGGCACGCGACTCGACCGTGATGCCACCCGATTGGTCGAACTTGTAAGCAAAGATGTACTCGTAGTTTGCCAGGGTGATGATAAACTGCACAACCAGTTCCCGGTGACGGGTCACCACTGCGCGACCGGTCCTCCAGTTGGAGTGCTTCCAGCCAATACCGTTGTCCTGCTCATGCAAGCAGATGGCGTTAGGCATCTTCTTGGCCGAACCATCGGCACCCGTCATCACGGCATCAAAGTACTTGATAACACCGAGGCAATCGCATCCGATCGAGAGGTTGTTGGCCATGTTACCACCACCACCATCACCAAAGTCGAACGCCTGCTTGCGGTGGAACGGAGGACGAGGATCGGCGTACGGTACAGTCTATCGAGTCAGCTGTCGATCCGTGGTGTGGGCCAAATGAACTTACCATCTCACTAACACTCAGTCGGTAAAGCACACTGCGGCCATCGTACCAGACGTCGTGAATGGTAGCACCCTCGCGGGGGTTGAAGGCCACGCGGAACCGCCACTTCTGCCACTCTACGAGCGACTCCTCGGTAATGCGGAAGGAAGGACCTTCGGGCTGAACCACGTTCAGCGGCTTCAGATCCTTGCGTGTACCACCAGGAAGCAACTCAGGCACATAGTCCGAGTCTTTACAGTGACCAATGATGTCTCTCTTGAAGGTCTGCTCCGTCAGACCCTCACCCTTACCACCTGTAGCAGGACGGTCGACCCGGATGATCTCCTGGGTAAGCGCATCCATGACAGGAATGAGGGG